AGCAGGTGTAGCAGGTACCAGCCATCATCCCGCCCCAGTTGCCAGCCTACAGCAGCCACCCTGCCAGTACCCCAAGGGGGAGCACAACTGCGGCTGTCCTTAGAGGCCTCCAGTGGATCCCAGGCAAGGACTGAGTGTTTTTCGACTTTGTGAGTGATTTCTGTTTCCCTAGAGGCTCTATTTGGAAGAATTGAATTGACAGTTGATGGTAAACAGTTCAAGATTAGAACTACGAATTGACTGTCATCAGTGACTATAGACATAATTTATAATTTGGCTTGATTACCACTTTCCTCTCTAACTTCTTTTAACTGCAGAGTAATTGCATGTGAGTAGTAATTGCTTCCCCCTTCTTGTTATGTGTCCTGTGGAAGCATGCCGCTCACCCCGTAACTGATGACTCAGCGTGAGCGGAAGCAGCCGCCAGCACTTGCTCGGTAGGGAGACGGTTTCATTTGGTCTCAACTCCCCGGGAGATACCCACCTCTGTTCACTCCCTCTAGGCCCCATTGGTACCATTCTGTTTCCTTTTTAGTCAGAAATGTTTAAATTGGAATAAAATTGCATGGGACCAGGGTTTGTTAAATGGAAAAACAGCGCAGGCACACAGTGAAAGGACTCACTGTTTGTAAAAGGAAACCGTGATTTGCTGAAGTGCATTTGGATTTTAATTTGCTCAAAGCATTGTGGGTCTCTAGACTGAAATAACTTCCCATTCACCCACAAGTGTAAAACACCAGGCACTACCTGTGCGGCCCAGAGTTCTCTGCCCTTCTTCTGCCTTCCATTTGAGAAGACAGTTTCAAGAGCCAGCACAAGGGACTAATGCCCACCTCCAAAATCAGGCTTTGGGTCCTGCCTCCAAATCCAGTTATTCTGGCTTCTGTTGGTTTACACCCTGTGAGGCAGCAGGCAAGGGCTTGAGTCCCCGCCACATGGATTGTGTTCCAAGCTCCTGACTTTGGTCTAGCCCAGTCCCAGGAAAGGCATTTGAAAAGTGAATCAGCAGATGGAAGATCTTTTCCCTCCATTTCTCCTTTCCTCCTTTGCTCCCTCCACCCCACCTGCCACTTTCTCTCACCCCGGCCCTTTCTCTCCTCCTTTCAAATGAAGCAAAAAACAAAGCAAAACAAAAAACAACATAGCCTTAACCTCCTCCCAGGGAGCTTTGTTTCAATCCCAGTTGAGGTCTCCGGTGATCCTTCTGGCCTTATAGTCTTTGCCATTGGCTCAGTTTTGAGTCCTTGTGTCCTGTTCTCTGTGTAATTATGCAACAAGATTGTAGCACTGCCTTTTCCTGGCTTTAAAGAAATATCAGAGGCACCTGGAATTTAAAGATAGGAGGTTTATCTGGGCTGAAATTCTGAAAGGTCCGAGTCTTAGAGCTGCATCTGCTCATGGCCCTCTTGCTGGCAGAGTCCCAAAGCAGTGAGGAGCGTCATATGGCAAGAGGCAGAGCATATCTGTCTGTGTGTCCGTGTGTCTTATAATGCCTCTGGATTCTATGATAGAGACTCGACCTTAATAACTACTGTAACATGAGCAGGATTTGGCTCCTCAGCTCCTACAAATGTTGAAAACTCCAAAGGCCATGTACACTAACTGTGTAATAGAGATGGTCATATCCAGTAGCATGTTATTTAACTTCATGGCATTGGAAATTTCTGTTTTTCTTCCAGTTGTTGATTTTCTATTGTGGCTTTTCGTTTAAGGAGATGTATACTGTGTAATGGAGACTATCATATCCAAATGTGAGGATACAATGCAGTATGCATCTCTACTTCCAGATCAAAGATGGACTACCAGTGAAACTGTTACCTATATGTTGACAATAGGATGCTGGACTCTACCATTGCCCATGCCCACAATGATGGATATATGACTGTTTATGAAGAACTATTATAGTAACAATACAGGTGAACTTAGTGGCAGGGAGGCGTGGAAGGGGACTTGGGAAAGGAGTAAGGAAAATCCCAGGGCCTATGGAACTGTATCATGAAATGATAAAAAGAAGAAGACAGAGTGGGACTCAAAGACTGTAAAGACTTGGTCAAGATAGGAGAGAAAGAGTTGGGAACACACATCCTCTCCCCTGTAAACTGCTGGTCTCCATCAGGTAAACCTGCTGGCCAGTTGTTTGTGAAGTCGGAAAAGCAAGATGTCTGGTTTAATTGATTAACCTGGCAAGGAAGCTGGCAAGGGGCTATGGCGCAAGAACACTGGTTACTTGGACATAGCTTTGGGACACACTGGTGATGCAGACTGGCGTGGGTGATTTGGTTGTTCTGTGGGGCACGCACATGTGGAGCAGGCTGTGAGAGCAGGTATGAGTGGAGAGGGCATATTGAATCTTCACATCCCCAGGAGGTGTTTTCTGAAATCAGCCTTTTCAGCTTCTATGTTGAATGAACACATACCTCTTTCCTATGTCAGAATGTAAAGGGTGCTGCTTATGGGTCTGGTGTGTGTCCATCCTGGGTGCTCCTATCTGTAAGGAAAAGTCACGACACAAGCCTTCTCTTCATTCGTTTAGCATTCTTGGTATGGCTGGGTTGCATTTAAAGTGAGGTTTAAATATAGATTAGGATTTTGAGGAAGAGAAATGTGAAAATGATTATGAAAAGTGCACTTCACTATTATCTTCTCATTTGAAAAGCAAAACAGTTTTAAATATTTAATGCATGACTGCTTTATTGAAGGAATGGATTTAATGTGCATTTCTGTATCTTAACTCAAAATTTAAGTGCAGGCCCTTTTTGCTTAAGTTGGAGTTTCCTCTCAACAGAAATAATCTTTAAAAATAACAAAATTATAAAATAATACTTGGTTTGTTTCATTATATTGGAAATGCTATATATCTCCAAATATCCTATACTTTAATAATACACTATAATTTGCTAAATTAACTCTAACTTTCATGAGGCACAATCTAAAAAAGCTAATTATGGTGGGGAAAATTTATTGTTACTGAATAATCACTTCAGATTTAAGAAAGTGGAATAGCCAAGCTAAGGCCACACAATTAGCCAGATAACCTTTTAATATATACGAATTGGCCATGTTTCCTGCAATTAGACAGGCTTTTCTAGGACGAGGAAGAAGTAATAATGGCATGCACCAATAATGATATGTATCAATCAGTTCAATGACAACTTGATCTTCCAAAAGTATCCTCAAGGAATTTGCCCAAATTACTTGGGAAAGTGATGGTGTTAAAGTATACCTGATATATTAAGCACTCAACTTTGTGTGTTGCTTTCAGATAATTCAGCGGGGCACACAGCTACATTACGAAAAGCTGAAATATTAATGGAAATATTAACCTTGCCAGATTGCAGAGTGGGTTGAGCTTTGTCATATATGCCATAATATTGGGTTTCTTGCAGATCAGAGCACTTTAGAAGGAGAGAAAGTCACATTTAAAAGACAGTGTCTGTGTTCAACTCTTAGGAACTCAGGCTTCAGCTTGCAGCTCATCTGATGGCCCAGCATCATGATCACTGGAAGGGAAGGTTTAGACTCAAGTGTGGGTCCCATTCAAGAGCTCCAACCAGCCTCATGCCATCCACTGTGTTTTATGGGCACCAGAATCATATGGTCAGTTTTCTATAAATATTTGAAAGGTCTTTGCATTGCTGCCACCCACATGGGAGACCAGGAAGAGGCTTTGCTCTAGCCTATCCCCAACCACTGCAGTCATTTGCGGAGTGAACCCATGCGTGGAAGAGCTGTGTGGGTGCATGTGTGTGCATCTACCCTCCTTCTGTTGCTATGCCTTTAACACATATGTTTTAAACAAAATTAATCAAGTGCTTTGTGTTTGCCATTAAGTGCTTATCACATTTCTGACAATATTGGGCAGTGGTGGATATGTGATCAATGATATGTGAATTAAGTGTGTAACCCTACTATGAACTCTGTTATGCTAGTTCAGAGGGTAATGCTGTCCACAGTGCACTTGGTTCTGCTGCCTTTGCATTTGCTTTCCCCCAGCAGAGCCCACAGCTGACCCTCCTTCGGCTCCTTTGGTGGAAGTTTGGACCTAAGAAATGCATACCTAGTCCTGTGAACTCTGAAGCTAAGTTCCAATGTTCCTCTGCCCCAATTCCTCCCACTTTGCACAAAATGAAAAGAGGGAAGAGGAAGCCGAGAAGGAAAAGGAAAGAAATGTGGGTAATAGGGAACAATTTCTCACTGGACAATTGCGTGTCAGTTGCTAACCTCTACAATATCTGAAGGATATGCGCTCTTCACCACAGGTTAACATTTAAAATTGCCCTTCTGTGATACCTCTACTCAAAATACAGTTTTTTTTTTCTTTAAAGAGGATGGGAGAAGAATGCCTCTTTGACTACAATGGATGTATATTCAATTGTTTTCTGGCTTTTATGAAATCTAAAGACTAAAACTATATGGAAAACTCATGGGTTATTATTTCTCTGTGTTCTGCTGTAGCTTCTTATGGATGACCTTTTGCAGAAGTGAACATTTCTGAGTCTTTTAAAAATAGCTCAGCATAGCTAAAGGGGTTGGATGTTCCCCTGGAGGAAATGAAATATTTGGCTCTCTTCTATAGGAAATGTAGAATGGTAGTTGACTTTCAAAAGTGCAATAAAGCTTACACTTTATCTCTCAAATGAACAAGCAGGCAAAAGCGAGCATTTTTATCTTAGACTGACCTCTGCTTTCTGGAATGCTGGGATTTTAATATTATTTCTGCTTTGGCACTTTAAAATCAAAATAGATAAATAATGTCCTTGGGGAAATAACTTTGCCTTCCTTTATTCCTATGCTGAAGAATGCCTACTTAGAACTCAATAAATAAATAATACAGTGACACGATCTGACCTAAGAAAATTTGATTTCATTTTCAGTGTTTCCCGAATCCGTGTTTTAGCTTGTCAAAAGGGGTTCTCAGATTGGCCCCATTACCAGTCAGTGATGACTTGGGGGGTTGCTAAGTTGCATCACCTGGGTTTTCTCCCCCCGCCCTGTTGCAGGAGCGGCTGCTGCTGTCCTTGCTACCAGCCCACATTGCGATGGAAATGAAGGCAGAGATCATCCAGAGACTGCAGGGCCCCAAGGCAGGCCACATGGAGAACACAAACAACTTCCACAACCTGTATGTCAAACGACACACCAATGTGAGGTACGTGGGGGTCCAGGGCCCATGGGGACCTCCTTTGGGGGACCTGCTTCCCATTCCTGAATGGGGACTGTTAGTGGTACATTAGGTCCAGCTCATGATCCCCTGTGCTTGGCTGCATGCAGTCCTCTGTCAGAGCCCTGCCTGTCCATCAGTGCCCATGGGAGAGATGCAGACAGTGAGGTCTTGACTCTGATAGTCCCATGGTCAGATTGCAGTTGTGTTGGGAGGCCACTGCAGTGGCCTTTCCATCGCAGAAGGACTCACTGGCTTCTTGAGATGGGCTCTGTGGGACCAGGTCTCTGGGAGTTAAACCCAAAAAGTTGCTTGTTCTCTACTCAAAAGTACCAGATGGGTTTCCAGAGTATAGCAGGAGGACAGATGTGTTCCTTAGTGGACTGCTCATGGGACTTACTGCTTTTTCAAGATAGGATGTGTACGCTTAGGGAGTCATTCCTGGACTCAGATCCCTGGAAAACTAACACACCCCAATATGAGGCTATGGCCAAGGGGAGAGTGGTGTGTGGCCTTTGTCTTTACTGAGCTCTTCAAGCAGCTATTAGGGTCCTCACTGTGGCTGGACAGGAAGTTCCACCTGGTACTCCATCTCCTGGCCACTGCAGACCAAGATCTGGCCTTTGTTGCTGATCCCACTCCCCTGGGGATGTCCTCTCGCCCACTGTTCACACTGAAGCGTTTGCTTTAGCCCAGCTGTCTTCGCACCTGTAGACAAACCTGGTCTCCGTGGTTCTCCATTGGTAACATTGGTTGTGTTGCTGGAGAAGGTACTTGTCCAGTACTTTTCATTACAGCCACTGCTGGAACTAACCTGATTTAAAAACACTGGTCTGCCTTCAGACTTGTGAATATTTCTCCCACAGACTTAAAGAAAAAACCTTCACAATGTCTGACAGGGTGCCTTTTACTAGAAATTGCTTTTTCAGCTTTAACTCTGAATTTCACCGTCCCTCCTACCTCAAGAAGTGCTGTGAAATTACTGGATTTTCAGAACAGACTCAGATGTGTCTACATAGTGCCCTGGCAGTCCACCAGCCTAAGGTCTCTGCCGGTGATTGCAGGGCCTGCCCACCTCCACTAGTCAATGTGCGGGTCCTCATGCTCACTGCGTGAGCTATCAATGTAGTAGTTTGTAGCCTTGATAGCTGTGATGTCACAATGACCATGATCAGGGCTTTGGCAGCAGCTCAGCCGAGCAGCCCTGGCCTAGGCTGTACCATGAGCCCTGAGGCTGCATGCCAAGGGAAGGCTAGGACTGCCAAGTGGCATGTTTCCAGGTGTGTCCTTGTGTGACCAGCACATTGATGCTAGCTGTTGGCTGGAGGTGCCAGTTCTTCATTGCTGAGACTCCCCATAGGCTGCTCGAGTATTCCCACAGCATGGCACTCACTTCTCCTGTGTAAGGCAGATACAAGAGACAGCCAGTGGAAGCCGATACCCTTTATGACCTGCCCTTGGAAGCTTGTTTTTGATCAGTTTCTGCTGGTGATGGACATGGCTGTTACCGTTATTTCTGCTACAGATGGTCTAGAACATATCTGCAGTACTGCATTAAATTTTTAGCTGCTTAGAGGCTTTCGACTTACATGCCATGAGGACAGTGTTGCGATGCAATGAGTGAAGCCACCACCTGCGTTACCAGCACCCCTTAGAAGGACTGGTTCACGTCCCCTGGCGTTTCTAATCCAGCTCCTTGCTAACAGCCGGTGCAAAAACAACAGGTGATAATTCAAACTCGTGCTATTCATGTTGGAGACCAAGATGAAACTCCTGGCTCCTGACTTAGGCCCAATTCAGTGCTGGCATCATGGCCATTTAAGAAATGAAAGATTCTCTCCCTCTCTGAAAATATATGTGGGTGTGTGCACATTGTATATATTTGTATCTTTTTAAGTCTTTCAAATAAATGAATCTTTTAAAAATATTTCAGTGACAAAGTACCAACTATTTTAAGAGAAATATGGAAGTGTAATTTTTTTACCCTATAAAAGGACAAGTATGCTCAAAGAGCTTTATCCAAGGGCAACGAGGATGGTCTGCTTGATATCGATTTCAGTTTCCCAAAAGAGAATTATTAGTCTTTTAAACAATACTAAAAAAGCTACTTGCTACATTTTACTTTTGCTTTGCTGTTCATTAAACAAAATGTTTATTTGCTGTTAAGAAACTTACTAGTTTTTTTTTTTTAAAGAAAATAATGGTAATAGACATCAGCTGCCAACTGAATCTTCAAACTGAACTGAATCTTTTCCCTTGGTTGTGAAACTTTCCCTTTTTCCTAACTCCAGGGTTGAGGGGGAAACCAGACTTCATCTTGCTTTATGTCATCCTTGACACCTACTTTACTCCAGCATTTGACTAGTGACAAACCAGACTTCATCGTTCCACCTGTCTTCCCTATCTGTCTACTGTTCTTTGTTTCCTCACATTAGAGACCTTGCACAAGGCTGTCCTGGATTCTGGACTGTGTTTCTGGCTGACCAGAGTAGAATTCAGATCACAGTCTGGGACCTTCCTTTATCAGTGGTCCATTCTGTGCTTCTTCCACCATGTAACATTGCATCACCATTGCCTTCTCATTTACTGAGTTTCTGTGGTGCCCAGTAAGCCCTGGACCAGCTTCAGGTACCCTCAGCTGTGCTCTCAGGGCTCCATCACCTGTGGCAGGTTTTGACCACAGAAAGCCTCACGGCTGTTGGGAACCAGGGTGGTGTGGACAGCTGCCCATCCACTTCCCAGTTCTCACCGCCCCCCTGCACCCCTCCCCCGACTGTGGCTCTGAGCTGATCCTCCCTTGGGGACTGTGGCTCAGTGTCTGAGCCTGCAAGCTGTGAGTGTGGCTGTGGGGTAGGATCTAGCAGAACAGAGATGGTGCTGCCAGCAGCCCTGTGTTTCCTGGATCCATCAGCAGAGCAGCAAGTCTTTCCTCCAGGGTCAAGCCACAGCCCATGCTGAGCTTAAGGTGCAGAGGCCAATGGCAGGCACTGCCATGATCATGCCAGGCCCTGGCTGGCTGGTGCAGTTAGGGGTGGAGTGTTTACATTGGCATAGAATACATGTGATGTTTACAGTTTTAACCATTTTTAAGTGTACAATCCAGTGGGTTTCAGCACATTTGTATTATTCTACAACCATCTTGGACATAATGGGCATCGTGTCTAATGCTGTGTGCCCGATAGACAACAGCTCTGCACATCCCCCTTCCCCTAGCCCCTGACCACTTTTATTCTGTTTTCTGTCTCATGCAGCTGGAATCAGAAATCACTTGTCATTTTGCTTAGCTTATTTCACTTAATGTATTCAACTGTTACAGAAGATGAAGGCTTCTGTGACTTTTAAAGGCCAGCTAATATCCCGTTGTATGTATACATTGCATTTAGTTTGTTTGTTGGTTGGCATTTGGTTAGTTTCTGTCTTTCACTGATCGAGATCGATGCAGTCTGAGCATTCACATATGTTCACTGTCTGAGCCTTTGATTGCTCTTCCTTCACATGTGTACCTAATTCCTGAATCACAGGCCAGACTGTTGAATCTCCGCTTGGGTGACAAAGCTGTTTCTCATAGCTGAGCCATTTCACTTTTCCAACAGCAATACGAAAGAGCTCCAATTTCTCCATACCCTCACCAGCACATTGGGTTTCCTGGATTTGTTTTGTTAGCTTTTGAAACAACTGCCATCCTAGTGGTTTTGAACTTGCAATTGGCTTTGTTTCCTGGCACATCCTACGTTCACTGTCTGATTCTCAAGCCTGTAGCAGGAATGTAGGCTTCCTCCAAGACGTCCGTGTACATGAGGAGCACAGGACTATGTAGAAGTGGCTGCTGTTTCCAGCACATGCCTGTTCTCCTGAGCTCCTGGGTCAATGCTCCAGGAACCCTGCCCTTCTCCCATGAAGGGGAGCTGCCCAGAATCCCCTGGGATAACCTTTGCTGGACTCTCCGCCGCAGCCAGCCCTGTGCCTGTCACCTGAGGCATAGCACTCATCCTGATTCACAACTGGACGCTTGCTAATGTCCTTCTTTGTTGACTGCATTGTCCTAAGGAAGCTCTAGCCTTGGGAAGACTCCTTGTGTTGGCTTCATGCTGACAGTGAGTGAGCTTTCCTGTCTTTCCTTAAGTTGTCTTTTGAAAGTCTATTTAGTTAAAGTAAATTTTATTAACCAATGTGTAAGAATTTTATGTAGTTATGGGGTGTTGTATGTGATTTTTTTCGATTTTTTGTTTTGTTTTGTTTTGTTTTTTGGGGCTTTTTTTTTGTTTGTTTTTAAAGCTATTTATTTTCATTGCAAAGTCAGATATACAGAGAGGAGGAGAGACAGAGAGGAAGAACTTCCATCCAATGATTCACTTCCCAAATGAGTGCAACAGCCGATGTTATGCCGATCCGAAGCCAGGATCCAGGAACTTCTTCCAGGTCTCCCACACAGGTGCAGAGTGCCAAGGCTTTGGGCCGTCCTCGACTGCCTTCCCAGGCCACAAGCAGGGAGCTGGATGGGAAGTGGAGCTGCCAGGAATAGAACCAGTGACCATATGGGATCCTGGCGCATTCAAGGCGAGGACTTTAACCGCTAGGCCACAGCGCCGGGCCCATGTGATGTTTTGAAATGTGTGTATACTGTGTAGAAGCCATTGGAGTAAATATAACATCTCTGCAAATATTGGTAATTCCTTTATGGTGAAAGCACCCCAACTCCTATTTTCTAGTCTCTTTTCTGGAGATATGTACAGAACATCAACATTATCTGTCATCACCATTAAGCAGCCATGTTTCTAGATTATCTCAATGTTCCTTTTGAATCAATACAAACAGGATTTGGGTTTTATTATTTTTCTGCTTCTATGTTAGGAATCTGTATAATATAAATTCAAGTAGAAACATATCCATCTGATCGTAAGAATCCTGCCAGTTATGGAAGTGAGGATGTACACCATACAAAGCAGACCAGGACATGGGAACAGAGATTGACCTGGCTAGACAAAGTACCAAAACGTATTTCCCCTCCCAACAAATCTCCATCTTAGCCACAAAAATAAGCACGTAGGCAGGCAAGGCAAGCCAAATGTTTCTGTCTCCTCTGGCCAGGAGGAATGGCATATTTATTATGATAATATAAATATGTAATCGTGAAAATTGGAAAGTTTTCATTGCTTGATTAGCAGATCCAAGCTTGTAACACTGCCACTTGCGTCCTTGCCCCCACAGTATCTTATATGCTGACATTGTGGGGTTCACACGCCTTGCCAGTGACTGCTCCCCAGGAGAACTGGTCCACATGTTGAATGAACTCTTCGGAAAGTTTGATCAGATTGCAAAGGTGAGTAATGCAGATTTCTTTCTAATTTGAAGATATGAAAACTCTTGCTTGCTTAATCTCAGTCCCCTTATGAATATTTTACTTTTCATAGAAGTATCCTGCATGCAGTTTGTAAAATTTCTTGTGTTTATCATTGACTCTTGATGAATCTCTATCCCACATCTGGGATGGAGAAGTGCCATGGCATATAATTATCACATGTTTTCATCTATTTCTAAAACTTCCTTTTTCTATAAAATTCAACGTGCACATAGTAAAGGCATTCAAGACGATGAGATTCAATGTTCACATTTCTTCCCATGCTATTTTAAGGAACTCTTTTAGGCATTTCCACATTGAGGAGCTGGCGACATCATTTCCACTTATCTAGTCGCAGCCATCCTATATCCACATCTACAGACAAGACCTTGAAAGAACTGCGAAGATAAGATTCTTACCTTCCGCGCAAGCCCTTTATCTGCTCCTGCCTCCTTGTCATCCTTTGACTCTAGTGCCATTTAAGTGGGAATGTTAAGTTCAGTCTCTGCCATTCTTAAACTTGTTCGTGGAAAATGTCACACAGAGAAAGTGATGACAAGTCATCACAAACCATGCTGGGCATGACTTATTGGAATTGCCAAGGTTGCTGTAGGGGAATGTTGATGCAAAGCTTCGTCTTCCTTTTCAGCCCTTTACTTCCCACCCAATACTTCTAGTAAGCCTAATTGAATTGTTCCCAACAAGAACAACAAAAATACTTGATCAAACCTAATAATTTTGTTATTTGTATATGGAAGAATTGGTTCTAAATTTAGTTCACTGTGTGACTTGGGTCCTTTTTAAACCAAGAAAACCATTCCAATCAAGCATCTTAGTAAGAAATCTGGCTTCCAAATATTAGTATAGCTGTTCTTGGGTGAAAATCCCAGATGTTTTGGCAAGTGATGTCTAACTGACCATAACAGCTCACATTGGGGCTTTAAGAGACCAGGAGTATAACGCTGCAGAACTCCTCCCTTTACCAAGCTAAACGAAAGACATTTTTTTTCAATGGGAGCTCATTTATAGAAAAATAATACTTGAAATGTACATAATGAAAGTTTGAATTACAAAAAATCTGTCTGGACTACTAGCCACGTTGAGGACAAATATCCCAGTCTGGCAGCCGGCAGCACTTGAGTGTTCTCACAGCATTTTCTCCTCGGTGTGTGCATCTCAGTGTCCCAGGCTCTGCTTTCTTAATGGACAGAAGTCATTCTTGATTAGCATCCACCCCATTCCAGTGTGACTGCCTCTTTAATCACGACATCTGCTAACTTCCTATCGCCCAATAACATCACATTCACAGCGGTGACTGACTTCAACATACGTGTTTTGGAGGACAGCATTCGTTATTCATAGCTGAGATGCCTACTGTGACTTCCTCTCTGGAAAAAAAAAATGGACTGTCCAGGCAACTGCTGGATCTAGCCCAAGCTTACATGCTCCATCTGCTATCAATCAAAAGGACTGCATGCTTGAAACATCGCTATTTGGTTCACAGTTAAATTACATGGAGGTACAAAGCATAGTTAGGAAGCAGATAAACCAGTCCACTGAGTGCATGCCTTTAAAGAACATAACCTCAACCCAAGGAACTCGAAGTCATTGTCATGTACTCTCACCAACTTTACACAGGCATGGGGGTATCACCTCACTGTACATTATCTGACAGGCGAGAGACTGTGCGAAACCTTCACGTGACCTAACACAAGCCCAAGAAGAAGGGGAGGAAAAGGGAAAACGTGATGTGCTCATTTTGTTATTTCAGTGTTATTCAATTTATACAAAAGCCTATGTTACAGGGGAAAATATCTATGTTTGATATACCTTTCATTTTGTTTTATTATGTTTTAATGAAGACTCTATACACTGATTTGGAAAGGGTAGGGAAAGGTGTGAGATTGGTACATATCAATGCAGCTAGTCTATTATAAATAAGCCAAACCAACCAAAAATAATGAGCAAGTCAAACTTTCCATCAAAACAGTTTAACCTCAGAGCAGAATTAAGTTTTAAATTACTTGCCAGTGTTGAATGGAAGTTTATTACATTGTGGAGATGTTTATCTGGAGCTTCATGCCTACAAGAAAGGATCTGCTTCAGCTTCAATAAAAGAAGGCCCAAGCAAGCAGGAAGTGATATGAGATTCTAATTCAAGTGCAGGTCTCAGAGTCTGCTCTGCGTGGAGTGTCCCATCAATGCCGGAAACTGTTCAGATCCAGGAAAGCGAACCAGCCCCTGTCCTCTCCTGCTTATATTCAGTGTAGATCGTTCTAAAATATTCGCTCCTCTTTCTCATTTCTTCCCATTTCCTTTATTATTTCTGCTTTGGTGAGGGTATGTCATTCCTTTGGGTTTATAATTCTCAGCTGTCCCTGCCCTCCAAACCTGCACTCTGTGTTAGACCCAGTAGAGTGGATACGGGATGATACTCAGTAAACCTGAAGCATTAGGCATGTCATTTTTCTGTGATTTTTTTTCCCCCAGGAGAATGAATGCATGAGAATTAAAATTTTAGGTGACTGCTATTACTGCGTGTCCGGACTTCCCATCTCTCTGCCCAACCATGCCAAGAACTGTGTGAAAATGGGGCTGGATATGTGTGAAGCTATTAAGTAAGTGTGCCTGCTTTTTCTGGTTCTTGATTTAATTGCTTAACAATTTTGAGTTGTAACTCTCACCTTCAGTCATTTCTGTCTACTAACAAAAGGATATAAATGTAAATATTCAGATACTCCTTTATTGGCACTTGCATACCACAGTCTAAAGGAAACTTTGCTCAGTGTTCAGTATTGTTAGTGTTAGATTAGAGCAAAACTGGGTTGGAAATCTATGGGAAGATTGTTTTGTTTACTTTGTATGTGGCTTTTTATATATTAAAGGACATCTTTGTAATGCAGTATAAATTATATGCCTGTGAAAACCTCTCCTATTTCTGTAAAATAGAACTATTCACATGCTGCAGGGCTTTTTAAACCACCAGTTTATGGGGAATAGGAAAATATCACCCAAATTATTTCACGTCGTCAGAAGTACTCAGCTCTGTTAATTTAGTTTTAAATTGTGTCTGTGATGTGTTTTTTGCATTAGCTCTATTGGTGTTTTTCATTGTGATTCCAGAAAAAAATCTATTTATACAGAATTATATGGCTACTGTTGATAGATGCAGGTTAAAGGGATAAGGTGATTTTTCAGGACCAGAATGCTTCCAGAACACTCATAAATTATTTTTAAAAATGTTTATTTATTTTTACTACAAAGTCAGATATACAGAGAGGAGGAGAGACAGAGAGGAAGATCTTCCGTCCGATGATTCACTCCCCAAGTGAGTGCAACAGCCAATGCTATGCCGATCCCAAGCCAGGATCCAGGAACTTCTTCCAGGTCTCCCACACTGGTGCAGAGTGCCAAGGCTTTGGGCCGTCCTCGACTGCCTTCCCAGGCCACAAGCAGGGAGCTAGATGGGAAGTGGAGCTGCCAGGATTAGAACCGGTGCCCATATGGGATATTGGCACATTCAAGGCGAGGACTTTAGCCGCTAGGCCATGCCGCCGGGCCCATAAATTATTTTTTTTTTTAAAAAAAAAGCTTTCTTGTGCTGATTGCATTATTGGAAAATTTTAGTTGATTTGGTTTTTTCAGTGTCAAGTGGTTTTTGCCTTCTCTCCCCGCTTGCCCCATTAGTCTAAACAGGGCTGAAACTGTATCCTTGAGATTCTAACTCAGTGTGTCAGAATTAATTGTTAACAGGGCTTCCAGTGGGAAGGCACCAAAGGCAGTTGTCACTGATCTTACCCTTTGTGTGTGTGTCAGTTATACACAGAAGTGACTCAAAGTTTAAAAGATGCTTTCCTAGCACTGTCCCCGCCAGAGTCCCGGAAGCTCCTCCCCCAGCCATGAGGCTAGGGTCTCCCTGATGAGTCAGAGTCCACCAGGGCAACAGGGCATGGGTGTGGGCTGCCGTATGGCTGATCCAGTGCAGGAGTGACGTGAGCCCCACGGGCAGGCAGCAGGGCTCATTTCTCTTACAGGAAGTACATTGTGTGGGAAATAACTGTGTTCTGCTTGCTGCTTCCCATAAATTTATCTTCTCTGGTAAATGAAAAATATTGTTGCAAATTTTTTTTTCCCACAGGTGAGTTACTACCCATAAATCTAGATAGATGGGTCTAGATGTACCTGAGTGCGATCAGCGGAACAAACAGACGTTCTTATATTTATGACCTGTCCCAATAGTCAGCTGGATGTGGATTGTAAATGTGAGATGAAATGGGCTCTGTTGGAATGGAGCATTTTTCTTGACTTCCCTTTCCAAATATGAGTCGGATTCAATTTTATGAAGAGAAAAATTATGTGTATCAACAACATTGGCTTAAGCAATCCACCCTTTTAGTGCAGCTTGATTTCTGCTTCGATGTGCTCGAGTTCCTGGTCCTGTTGTGTCTACGTTAGTCCAAAATATTGAAGAACTTTTAGGGTGGAGAATCCTCCCTGTAAGTTCACTGCTCTGTCACCCCTTCCTCGGAAGCACTTTTTATTTTTTATTGTGGCAAAACACACATAGAATAAATGTCACCTCTTACCCATTCTTGTGTGTGTAGCTGTATGGCCATCAGCACTAAGAACCTCTTCACTGGATGAGGCAGAAGGTCTATACCCAAGCAGCGGCATCTCTGCTGGTATTGTTCTTCAACTCTTGGTCGTTTCTATTATCCTTTTTGTTTCTGTGGACTTGTTCGCTCTGTATAGTTCATGTAAGCTCAGTCACACAATGGTTGTACCTTTTGATCTCCCTTACTTATTGTACTATTTTCAGGGCTCGTTTATGTTATGGCACGTCAGCACCCCATTCCTTTTCATGACAGAATAATTTTCTGTTATGTGGCTATGCCGTGTTTCACTGCCATGTTCACTGTTGACCCATCAAGAACATCTTGCATGTCAGAATCTCGGCACTATTAGTAGCAGGTTTGAGGAGACTCTCCCTGTAATTGCTTATTCTCAAATCTCATGTTCAAGTTAGATAATGCCCAGTGGTCTGCCCCTCACTAAGAGCTCTTGCATTCTTGTGCTTAGCTGACAAGATAATCAATATACTAGGTTGTTTCGTTTTTCTCCCAATAGAGACAGTGATGGAGAGGACACTTCAGCAAGCTCAAAAAATGCTTTGTTCTAATTTGAAAAGGAAGGCGTTTGTGTTTCTTGAACCAAAATGAGGGGATTTTAATTTATTAAACCCATGAGGCACACTTTTTATAGACTGCATTTATTTTTACATCATGATTTCTCTTCATCTTTTCAGCATCTTCTCGGGGGTGTTGTTTCATTACTGAAGCACACCATGCACCTGCACATTGGGGCGGTGCTAAGAGTCCCTTGACTCCAGTCCCAACTGATGGTCATGTGCTTTGCTGTGCTGAGGCTCAATGCTCCGTGTAACTGGAGCTGACTTCCTATGTACCTCTATGGTAGCCCTCTAACTAATGAGTGCATTTATCTGGTAGACAAAAAATCACTATCAAGTATTTCCATCTTTCCTTCATTAGAGTTCTTTATTTGCATTTGTGAATTGACAACAACATACTAAAATAATCTTAATTAACTTCTTTTTTATGATGCCTTATGTATTATTAAAAATTTTAATGAGTATTTTCACCTTTGCTTTTAAATAATTTACACAATTCAAAAGTTAATCTTGTGATTTTTTGATCCTTTTTCAAGCTAAAGTCATTATTAAACTCATAAATAAGCTGTATTGTTGTCATATTAGCAAATATTTTCCTTGAGGGCATTTGCCGTATGAAGCACCAGAATCACAAGTGACATCAATGACCAATGATTTTCTCACATTTCAAGTAAATGTCACATGATTCTAGTAGGAAAATGTAGAATAAGTGACAGCACACAGTGGGTGCTCAGTGTGTGCTAGCTGCTGAGAAAGTGCGGGGGAAAGTCAGAATGCTTTGCCGTCACCATGGTCCAGCCCCGTGTGTCTGTGCAAGCCACAGCTTGGAATTTGGCCTAGTCTAAGGGGCGAAGGGGCGAAGTGCCACAGCCAGTGCATCGCGAATACAGACTTGAAGAGGGGTGCGTGCTTGATGCTGAAAGACCAAGAGACATGTTTGGAAGGGAGTGCAACCAGAGGAACCATCTCTTCGTGTCCCAGCAGCTTTTATTCATTTGGGGAGCCACATTTAATAGTGATTAAGTTGATTATTGGGTCTTTTGTTTCCTGACTAATCACCATCCCAGCCAGGGAGTCCTCAGGTGGACCATCACACTGCCAGAGAGAGGAAGAGAGTGGAACAAGTGGCCAGTTTTCTTAGGAGTGTGTACTTCCTGAGGCTCTGGCCTTGCCAGCCTTGGGCCTTGTCGAGTGGTATCAACTCTATAGCTTTGCATCCTCAGCCATTTGACACTTGCTCATCTCTCCCCTTCTTCTGGCTTGCCAATGTCCCTCTTTAATGACCTATAGGACCTGAACTTACTATTTTAAGAATAGCACCTGCCTCTGAGGGCTTCAGTGTTTGCCTGACTGCTGCCTTGCGTGCAGAACGTCCATGCAGTTTGTTGTCAAAAGTGAGCTTCTGCCGGCAGCAGAGAGCAAAAACAAGTCCTTCTTCTGGCCCAAAGAGAATTCACAAGAGAACTTCATAGCAAGTTTTCTCATAATCTTAGATTTCATAAATAATAAAATATGGCAGTTAGCCAGTGTTAAAGGAAGAAGAGGATGTTACTAGAGTGTGACACCACTTCTCTTCTCTTTAGGAAAGTGAGAGATGCTACTGGAGTTGACATCAACATGCGTGTGGGAGTGCATTCTGGGAATGTGCTGTGTGGCGTTATTGGTTTGCAGAAATGGCAGTACGATGTGTGGTCACATGATGTCACTCTGGCTAATCACATGGAGGCTGGCGGAGTCCCTGGGTAAGGACAAACACTGAATTTCTCTCTTCACTCTGTCAGCAGTCAGGCAACAAGCTGATAGCCAACTTCTCAGTTTCTGAAGACTTCCTTGCTTCTTGATACTATGTTACTCAAGCCCAGTGGCCTCCTAGATTACTCAACACAAACTCAACATTCCTGATTCCATCATCCTTTGACCCATAGTCAAAGACTAGACATCAGGTATTAAATTACACTTTTGCATATAAACTTATACATAGATATCTGTGTCTAAGATGCATTTGACTTCAGTAAGATACAGGATACAGCATTTAACAAGTACTGTTAAATGAGCCACTGTAGCCTGGAGCTTTGGTTAGAAGTCAGGCAAGAGAATCTTGATGCAAGTGCTATTGTTTCTAGAAGCACAAACACAAGCTTCAAGAAAGAAAATCCATGTTTTATAGATATCTGCCTGTTTGCTCAAGTGCTGTAGACACGTGTCGTGCTCCTAAGTGAAGCTTCCATGTGCCTAAATTCTCTTTGCTGTCCTTCACCTCACCTGACATGTTGGCTTCTGTGAGTGCAGAACCATGCTCCCAACCTCCAGGCACACCTTACAAAGCAGAGGTCAATAAAATACAAGTTTTAATTGCTGTCCATTTTCCCAAGAACATGTGGATTTATGTTCATTTGGAGAAGTTATTTCTGAAGCTGCAAACAAATGGACTCTCTTGTTTCATGTTTGTCCTTTGTGTCTTGACTGCGGTTTTCCAATGGATTTCCAGACGTGTCCACATCTCCTCAGTTACCCTGGAGCACCTGAATGGCGCCTACAAGGTAGAGGAGGGGGACGGTGACAGCAGAGACCCATACTTAAAACAGCACTTGGTGAAAACCTACTTCGTCATCAACCCAAAGGTTAGAGGCCTTGTAACATCACTATAATCATAATTAGCCTGCTATATCTGCCATCAAGAGGTAGGAGAGAGGCCAATTATTGATATAGACAAGTATTTTTAATCAAAATTCAGTGTGTGTCTCTTGCTAGTGCATGTCTCTGAAGTGACTTGAAGTACAAATGGTGACTGAACACGGGGATATACTTTGTAGTAATGAACTCAAATGTTTATTGAACAGATGAAATGTATTGCTTGATGTTGGCTGCTGCTTTGGATCATTGCATTTCTTACCTAATGTTAGTCAGTGGGTCTGTGACTCCGTTAACCTACGTTCAATAGTAACAGATTGGCGTGTGTTTTGGTTGTTTCAGTATGCTGGTTGACGACTATTATTTGCTATGTGTTGCTGCTAGTGTACCTTTGAGTCAATATTAGTGTGCATTAGTTGCATACATGTGTACATGTTGATATGCCTGTTAATGATGCCATTCAGTATATGTGTTAGTCAATGTACCAGTCCATATTTTTAGTCAATTTGGTGTATGTGTTCATCTGTGTATGTGTTAGTTGATAGCAGTGTATGTCACTCAGTATAGATGTTAAACTGCGTATGTGACAATTGATGCCAGCAGCTATACGTGTTAGTGCACATGTTAACCTGTGTACATGTGTACATGTTTGCTGATATCCATCAGTGTGTATGTCATTCAGTGTGTATGCTGGTCAGTGCTACACATAGGGTTGTCTATGTGTTATTCAGTGCTGGTCAGTACACGTGTTAGTCTACAGTAGTGTATCCATTAGTTGTTGCTGCTTCTGAAAGATTCTCAGTGCTCACAGAGGAAATTATAATACAGAGAAAACATTAAAAATCTAATGAAAAGAAATGGGATGGAAAATTTTTAAAAGGTGAAAAAGGTAATATTTTCAAGACTCGCTAATAAGCTGCACATTTTCATTTCTAAGAAGATGAGTAGGCGTAGATGTATGTACTTCAATACAGTGAACACTTCCCTCAGCTGGAAGGCTGTGTAACCTAGGAAGACAGTGTGACGCCATCTCTTATTCTGTTTGAATCATAAGTTAGGATCCAATCAAGTGGCTTAGAGCCCTCGGTTCTTTACTTTGTCTCAAAGTCCTTTCAAACAGATTTGATCACACAGCTGCTAAACGGTGCAGATATCAGAAAGAAAGATCTCTGAAGGGCAGAATCCAATCTCACAGAACAACAAGGTAACATTCACACAGTTCACTCAAGACAGTGGTCCTAAACCAGAGTTCCACTTCTTTAGGCAAATTCCCACCTAGCTTGGCCATGGATCTGGAAATCGATATGTAATAAACAGCAAGAGTGGATGTGGCAGAAAACAGTGCAAGGCACGCTATCTTCTGGCCAGGGACACCCAAACACAGCCTGCAAGGCTGACTGGCGTGAGGGTCATCCTGGTCTAGCTATCACTTTAGAAAAGGACAGCATTGGGAATAGTAAAGACAGAGTGGCATATTCTAAGAATTTTCTTTATGTTGTTATGTTTCCCCAAGTTTCAGTTGCAGGTAAAATTGATTGGAAATGAAATCACTCTGTTGAAGTAACATATTCCTCATGCACACTGCATTCAGCAGGATAGCCAGAGAGGAAGAGAAATGGACTTGACCAAATGCCACTGGACCAGGATGGCCAGGTTGGGAGCTGTAGTGTCCCAGCTGTGTGTGATGCCGTGTTTCTTCCCCCAGGGAGAGCGGCGGAGTCCTCATCTCTTCAGACCTCGCCACACCCTCGATGGAGCCAAGATGAGGGCATCTGTCCGCATGACCCGGTACCTGGAGTCTTGGGGGGCGGCCAAACCCTTTGCACACCTGCACCACAGAGACAGCATGACCACAGAGAATGGGAAGATCAGCACCATGGTATGCCCACCCCAAGCATGATTCCCCAAACTAAAATCTGGCCATCCCCAGCCAAGATAACTTACTTGTTAGCAGTGGAGGAAGTGTACCACCTTCTTTCTCTTGGAGCTGGGCTCCAAGTCCAAGTACGCTGGATGCACTATAACCTCAAAGGGCTTTTACAATCGAATATACCCCAAAGCAATGTTCTCTACAACTGATAATAGTAACAAAAACCTGAACTGTTTTAAATTGAGATTTTGCTATTTCTCTACTCAAGTGGAATCCCTGAGATTATTAGTAAGAAGGGAAATAAAGGCCTGATGTCCCTGGAGTTTCAGCAGGTCAAAACCATTTCTTCATAGCCTAGGCATTCAGTTATCAACAGCAACATGCACTCTGCTCCTTATGTACCCTGCCAGAGTCCAGCATATCACACTGTGCTGACAAAAGAGGGAGATCCACAGGAGAAGTGAAAAACAGGGTTAAGCACTAAATCACAGCACTACAATTTTAAGCTAACTAGGGCTTGATACACAATGGTATTAACTGTGTTAGACATGCAGTTGAAATGAAAAACAGGACATAATGTTCCACAGTTCTCACTGACTTAAGATGCAAGCAAGGTTGTCATGTGAAGTATCCTGATACCTCCTGTCCCATAGGGTCTTACAATAGCCCTTCTCCAAGATGAGAAAGTGCCAATGGGCATCCTGAAGTCACTGTACCCTTCAGATGTCCGATGGAGACAGGAAGTAGACAGAGGAGAGACGCAAGTTACAGACATGAGTGTAAGGCTCATCAGGACTTAGGTGATATTTGAATGTGTGAAACTGGATGAAATTAGCAAGGAGAAAGCAATCTAAGGAGAGAGAACTGGAGCACATGGAGCTCTCCAGCACTCACACTGCTTGACTCCATCCAGTGGTCACTGAAAGTCAGTGATCTTATGCTATGCTGAGACTGGATTCTTAGTTGTTATTGTTAGTATTTGTGTCTGCTAATCACATCTTTCATTGAGATTTATCATAACCCCAGGAACTGGTTGTGTGGTTGGTTTTGAAGTAATACGTATTCTACGTAAATATTTGAATGTGATTTTCTCTGGTGTTACTAATATACTTGGCAGGGGAGGGGTGCGGATCTGCTTCATCGTATGTGTTGCTGTGGTAATTCCTTACTGGTCTTGGTTGTCTCAAGACTTAGAAGTGTCTATGTTCCTTATGATCTCAGCAAGGGACCACAGAAATAACTCTATTCTGACTTTAATCTCTTGCCGTGTGCTGGGAAAGTGCCTCATTCTAGGGAAAGTTGGAGCTGCTTCCTGCTCCAGGAAATTGTTTGTAGAAGTCAGAAGACTGCCTGCATGGACTGTTTTCTCGGATGTGTGGTTTTACCTGTCAGTTTCAGAGCCCAGGCTTGTACTGCCTTCACAGCCACGTATAGGATGCCTTAACAAATCCCGCAGGCTTTGGTTAGCACATTAAGCCTATGCTTTTATTTAGCCATGTCTTCTACTCCCTTTCAGAAAGCCCCATTGTAATTCTTACTGATACATTCCAGGGTCCAGCAGTTGTCATTGCCAGAAGTTATTTCTTTTATCTAATCCCCTAGGCAGAGCTCCATAGAGTCTTCATTCAACATTGATGGCGCTGTTGAATAATGCATTCTTACCTTACATAATGAAACCTGGAGTTCAATTACTTCTTTTTTTTTTTAATGCCTTAACTTTCCCTAGGCTAAATAAATTTCCCAATCTGACTTTGGAGATCAAAGCAGCAAATGGAAGGTTTTCGGAGCTGTTTTGTTCCACCTGGTATTTTCATTTCCATCACAGTTGTATAAAACTGGATCCCATTTTCTGTGTCTTTTACCAATACTTGACAACAGGTTCTACACTGATAAATGCAAAATAGTGTCTCTTTTGCATTTCCCAACCAGTACTCAGATTGATTTCTTCCTTTCGTCCCGTGGTTTGTGGCTTGACACACTCAGCCAATGCCGCGTGACTCCTGTGCTAAGGGTGGCTATGGCTCTGTGGTCCTGTTGGTGCTGTGAGGCATTCTGAGGAAGCATCAGCACCGCAGTGTGTTCTCACATGGTCTCAGGTCACGGCTGGTGAGTATGCCTCTGCGGCTGTCACTTCAGCTCAGACCTTCAGACAGAGGGCGTGCACTCTTTAAATTGGACAACAAGCCCGAGACCTCCAGTAGCAAAAGTTTGCAGTTACACCAGCATTCTCTTCCTAAACAGAGTTTTTTAATCTAGATTTTCATTTCTAATTATGTACTTTCTTCACAAGAATAATTGCTTGTTATCTGAATGATACTTTCCATGATGAAAAAAATGTGTCATATATCATTATTGCTTAAAATGTTTATTCATGAAATAATTTTGGCAACTAATGGACTTCTTTTTTAACATAGGATGTACCAATGGGTCAGCATAATTTTCAGAATCGCACCTTAAGGTATGGTATATTTTTTGACCATCTAATTATTACGAGACTTACTGCTTTTCATCCGCTTCTGAAAGTAATTATCATCAATTATAGCTGTTTCAATGGCTACTTCAAAAAGAGCAGCTACTTGTGGAAAAGCTCCATTAAATTGCTTTCAGCTTCTAAAAATAGGATTGTTAGTGCCTTGTTATTAGAATTATGAGAAAGAAAAGGGAAAAAACCACCTGCTAGCCACTTCAGCATGCTAAATTGTGTTCTTAAAATGACTTTTCTTAAGATTAATGAGTTGGCCCTGGATGGGTTATGTTGCTTAAAATCACATTTTTGTGTTGAATTCTAAAGATAAATCATGCGAAGTCCAGCCTTTCTGTGGGGAAACACATAGAAAGGAAAAAGGCTTCCTGCCAATGTGTGTGAGAACCCCGGCCGCTGTCCACATCCCCAGCCCCTTTTCCTCATGTTCCTCTGCAGGGCACGGGATGTGACTTTAACATTGGTTTAGGAACTAACCACACTGATATTAGGATATTGGAGTAATTCATGGAAGACATCAACTTGAAAGTTAAAGCAGCGCTTTTTTCTCCATGGAGACATCTGTTTATTGGAGGTGTAGAGTTTTATAGAAACAAAGAAAAAATATGTCCAGCGTGTTTCCTTAAAGAGAAGGCATTGTGCCCAAGTAAAACATAAACACAAACATTGTTAATGACCAAAACATGGCAAAGATCCACAAAATTCTTCCACATGGCTCCATTTGTTGTATTGAAGTTTAATTTGTATCTTATGCCAAGTTTGAAATTTTAGCATTGACATAAACACTTATGGTCTTCATGTAGGATGGTTCATTTGACTCTTAGATTTTTTTAAGCATTATTTTTTTTTTAGATTTATTTTTATTGGAAAAGCAGAGCTATAGAGAGAAGGAGATACAGAGGGAAAGATCTTCTGTCTGATGGTTTACTCCCCAAGTAGCCACAATGGCCAGAGACAAGCCAGTGTGAAGCCAGGAGCCAGGTACGTCCTCCAGGTCTCCCATATGGGTGCAGGATCTCAAGGCTTGGGGCCGTCCTCTGTTGCTTTCCCAGGCCACAACCAGGTAGCTGGATGGGAAGTGGAGCTACTATGACATGAACTGGCACCCATATAGGATGCCAGAGGATGCAAGGTGAGGATTTGGCCACTAGGCTATTGGCCTGGGCCCTTAAGGATTATTTTTAAGTGATATAGACCATATTAAGGAGATACAACTCCAAGAATATGATCCTTTCCTTGCTCATTCCTCTGTCTGCTGTGGTTGTTGATGTTTAAGGCTTTCTGCTGCCTTGGAATCAGATCCATCCAAGCTTCCCTCATACCTCCTAGCTTTGTACATGGACTCTGAGATTCCAGGCTGGTCCAGAATCTGGCATTATGGTACCTTTCCCATGCCTCATTAGACAAAATAGTGCAGGCATGATGGAAGCAAAGGTCTCAGGAAGGATCTTGGAAGAAAGAAAAAGACTGGCATGGTTGGAGGAACAGTATGATAGCTGTCCTAAGGAAAAGAAAATGATTAATGCTGAGTGTCAGGTGAGCAGGGTGCTGCTTGGTGGATTGCCAACCCTAAAGTGCTTTACTACCTTCAGAACCCAAGTTAAAATTCCAGGGGAAAAAAACTTACAGGTCAAGAGCTGTTGTCCAGATAATTAGAATTTAGATCATTCATAATGTGCACCAAATGCCTTTCCATCTGCCCCTTGTCTGGCATTAGGCTCTATAGAGGCATTACCTGTTAATCCTACACAGATGCTTGAAGCCTGCATGATTACTAGCCTGGGTATCATATTAAATAATAACTTTCCCAGTTATTCTCAAGGTGTCCTACTATTTCTTGTTAGAATTTGAGAGACTTAAAAAAAAGCAAGGAAGGAAGAAAAAGGAAGGAAAGAAATGGAGAAAAGAGGAGAGAAAAAAAAGAGAGTGGGCGATGCAGTGGTGTAGTGGCTAAAGTACTCACTTTGCATGCGCTGGGATCCCATATGGGCACCGGTTAGTGTCCCAGCTGCTCCACTTCCCATCCAGCTCCCTGCTTGTTGCCTGGGAAAGCAATCAAGGATGGCCCAAAGCCTTGGGGACCTGCACTCATATAGGAGAGCGAAAAGAAGCTCCTGGCTTTGCAATGGCTCAACTCCAGCCATTGCAGCCACTTGGGGAGTGAACCAGTGGATGAAAGATCTGTTTGTCTCTCCTCTCTGTAAATCTGAATTTGCGGTGGAAATAAATAAATCTAGAAAGAAAAAGGAAGGGAGCGAGGAAAAGGGAAAGAATGAAAGAAGGAAGGAAAAAGAAAAAAGGAAGGAAAAGAAGAGAGGAAGCTAGCTGGCATTGTGACACATTGAGTTTAGCTGCCACCTGCAATGCTAGAATCCCTATGAGTGCCAGTTTGAATCCCACATGCTCCATTAAGATCCAGCTAATATATCTGGTAAGCAGGAAGATGACCAAATGCTTGGGCTTTTGCCACAGTGTGAGAGAACCAAATGCAACTCCTGGCTTCAGCCTGGCCCAGCCCCATCTGTTGCCACTGTTTGGAGAGTGAACCAATCCTTAAAAGATCTCAGTCTCTCTCACTCATTCAGTTTTCTTTTCAGATTAAAAAAGAAATTAAACATATCTTAAAAATAAATGTATTTAAACAGAGAGCCAAAAATTAAAGTCAAGAGATACAAGTCTAAACATGGATAGTAAAACTAAAATGAAGCATTTGAAGTCATATCACATCACTCATAACCTTCACCTGTAAAATTGCAAATAAAGTATGCAAACCGGTCCTGGCTGTGGCAGGTTTTGCCTCTGTCTGCAGTGCCAGCATCCCATATGGGAACCAGTTCAAGTCCTGGCTGTTCCACTTCCAATTTGCATATTTCCTAGGTAATCTAGTGGAGGATGGCCCAAGTGCTTGCAGTCACTGGAGCCTTGTGGGGACCTAGAAGAAGCTCCTGGCTTTGGACCAGCCCAGTTCCAGGCATTGCAGCCATTGAAGCATGAACCAGCAGATGTAGGATTTCTCTCTCTCTCTCTTTTTCCCCATCTTTCCTTCTCTCCTCTCCATCCCTCCTTCTTTCCTTCTCTCTCTCTCTCTGATTCTGCCTTTCAATTTAAAGTTTTTAACAAGTGTGCAGAGTGCAGACAAGATTAGATAATTACCAGGGACCCTTGTTTTCTTAAGGATAAACATTAACTTGCCTTCGTCAGTCAGCTTGGAATATGATGTGCTAAGATGTCTGAATTCAGCTTGCTACCTGTACATGGATTACTAAATGTTATTCTGTTTTTTGAACCAAGACTGCCATCATCCTATTTGAGGAAGGCATAATTCTACAAATGGCATAATTCTACAAATGGAGGATGGTGGAATTGGGAAACCCAGGTATCTCAATGAAGTTTAATTAGATGTCAGTATGACATTACACATTGAACTGTACATCTGTGTCTAGAGTCAGTTCTGAACTCAGATCAATGTGATGTATATTATAGACGAGAAGCTCTGTTCAGTCAGCAATTTAACCCACTGCAAGCCATGAAATTGTTGGCCATACCAAGGCAGAGTCACCTGGCTCAGGTCAGCCAATGACAACCAGAGGGTGCTTTCAATCTTTGCAGTAGATATTTGGCTCCTGAAAATAGATACAATTTTTTTTCCTGTTGCTTTCTCCTGTTAACTGTCAAATGAACATTGGGGAACTCCTTTTTATATTTAGCAAAATTTGCCTGGAAAGCATCTGATATTACAGCTAAAGTTTGCTTCTGAGACCAGGTGAGGCATTCTGCAAATATGGGTTCTTCACAACATACTGCTCTTGAAAACTCAAGCACACTTAAATCCATCAAGTAAGCATTGATCTGCCTCGCATTAAGACTGTAGGGTCTGTAAACCCTTGAAAACTAACCAAGGGAAAACATGAAAAAAGAACGAGTATTTGTCAACCACGAAATTTTTACAGGGGAATTTCCAGAGCCAATATGTTCTGTCATGAAATAAGCATTTTAGGAAGGCAACAAGCCAAGGGCTGATGCATGTCTTAGAGAGGGCTCTTTGACCTCAAACACCGAGTGCTTAGCTTTGCCTGTTGCTGTTAATGTCTGGTAAATGTAACACTGAAATGGGAAGGTGCTTTCCTCACTGCACCGAGGGCTCCAGGCAGCTCACTCAGGGAGGCGGATGTTAAATAGACTCTCGTTTCCTTTTTCTTCTTAACAGAACTAAACAGAGGTGTTGGCATCCCAGAAACAAAGGCTGGTGTTTCTTTTAGTAGTAATAGTCTTACCCATATTTCTTTCTTTTATTATGCAGAACCAAGTCACAAAAGAAAAGATTTGAGGAAGAATTGAATGAAAGGATGATTCAAGCAATTGATGGAATTAATGCACAGAAGTGAGTACTTGTTCCTTGTAAATTAGCTCATTTCAAACCCTGTCACCTAAAAATATTAGATTTTCCAAAAGTATGTTACCACTGACTTTGCAATATTTAGCATGACAAAGCCAAATTTTCTGAGACAATTCGTTGATTTAAACCTAATTATCACACATAATAGCTTTTGATAGTAGTATTTGTTTAATCTGTCTTTTAAATTATTCGTTTCCTAGAAATTATCCCAAGTCAATCACTGATAAGTAACGTGAGATATAATCATAGAAGGAGAAAAACCCGAATTATAATGTGCTCAGCAGTCCTATTTTTAAAAGGTGACAGGAGTTCTGTATGGAAACATGTTCAGGGAACATTGTGTGGCACCATCCAGTAAGGTAGTGTGGATTTCCCTACAGAGTGAGACAGCCTTGGGAGGCCTTGGTGTCAACTTCCAGGAAAGCATTAGAATTTGAATTCATAGTCTCCAGTGAGAGGGAGACTGGTCCTTGTGGGGGCACAGTATTACTCAGCCTGTGAAGGCAAGAGTTGATATAGTTTTAAGTCATCTGAGATGCAATGTGAAAATAGTTTAAGGAAGGCTGTGCTTTTGCATGCTGCGTAGGGCGATTGCATTCTTTGGCCTTCACATTCTCCTTCGGTTCATGCCTGATGGCTGGATTCATGGAGAGAGGAAGACACATAACTCAGTGTGGTGCCTGGTGCCTGTGACACACTGAGCAATGTCACATTAGACCATGGTGACATCAGTATGTAAAGGAGCCTTCCAAAACATGTCCCGTTCGTAATAGAGACCAATTTATTTTTTATCATGAAAGTTGACTCCCAAAAACAATAATGTTTTCCCTAGAACTCTTTCCTAACATTTAATTACAGGCCTCACTGAGTTCATGGATTTGCACAACATGTCCTGTTGTAGATGGCGCGTTGTAGATAACATATAGGTATTCATATAGCATATAGGTATCCACGTTAGGAGAGTAAAAAGGCTTCTGAAAGCAAAACGTTGTTACAGCCAGCAGCCCCAGTAACATGGACACGGCGAGGGTCTGAGGGATCAAGCCACCGACTGGAGACCAGTGATGGTGGAAGTCTCTCTGAGGCTTCCCTTTATTGCCTTCTCTCTTGACCTTTCACCTACTTCTTGTTTACTCTTTACCCCACACCCTCATTAGTGCACATTGGATACAGCTGAGACCAGGTGCTTCTAGCCCCAAGCCCACTCCCTGAGTGCTCAGCTTAAGGAGTGCTAGTCAACACCTTAGCCCACAACATCACTGAGTTACGCACAGATTTGTGGGGTGTGTGAGTGCAGGTTTATCTGTGCAATCAAGCATCTCAGGTGAACAAGAGCTGGAATTCAGATATGCTGACACTGAGGGTCGGTTACTGAGTGGACAAAGTCTTCCAGCTGTGCTGGGGGTTCACACACGCAGACTGTTCCTGGACAAATGCTGTGCTTCAGCATGTTACAACATGTCAGAGGAGCAGATGACCTGGGGCCTACCTGCCACAAATGCCAGTGAGGCTCTCAATCCATGGAAAGTAGGTGGCAGAATCCATTCCTGCAGCCAACACTGGGTGTCCTCCAGGATAAACATACCAAGAGAAAGAGAAGAAGAAGAAAGAAAAGAGCGTGTTCCTTGTCAGGATATTGAAACATACTGAAGTCAGCCTCAACTATGTTCCTGTAGGATTCCTGCATTTTTGAGCTGATTTTCTACCTACCTTCTAGAACATTCTTACTGAAGGAATTACTAACCTAATCATTGATGACTGGGCTTATTTTTGTTTTGTTTTTTAGTTTTGTTTATTTTGGGCTTTTTAAAAAATGTGCTTTGTGTCCTTTGGTATTCAAATACATTGTTAGCACCTTTGTGTTTTGGTGTAGTCAAAAGTAATATTTTATGTTGGTTTCACTGCTTATAATTTTCCAACGCATTTCAGGAAGCAGGGGAAATGTGAAGCTGTGCTCCACAAAACAAACAGGAAGCATTTTCAATGGGGGCTCTCGTGCTTATATCTTTAATTAGCCACAACCATATTTTGTTCTGCCCTACTCATTAACGCCTCTTGTTCTTTCATATGGTTTCTGATCTTTGAATTTCCACTTGATGATTAAGTTTGAATGCCAGACTTGATGTCCTGTTCAATTGATTTCTGCCATTGACATCAGTTCTAATCTATTCACTTACTTATTTAGTGAGCATTTGTTTAAAAGTTGAGTAACAGCAGCATGTGCTCGTCAGGAAATGGACCAGTGCACACACACCTTACAGAGACACTCCTATCAGGCTGGGCCCCGTGCATCTCAGTTAACCTTAGTCACTTCCTTAGAGGACCCATCTGCAAGTCCAGCCACGCTTGGCGTGGGGGCTTACATTGGGGTCTCACACACACACTTGGTTTATGACCATAGGAAAATAACCATTTCTCTTGGTGTCACTTTTCTGTAAGAAGACGCATTCCATGTTCCAGAATGCTTTGGAGTAAAGACCTGAGTGAATGTACATGTGTCTGTCACCTTGACTCGGAATTTCCCTTAGAATTTGTGAAATTTGGCTTCAGCCTGGCATAATAATATTTATTATAAGGGGGCAGGAAGTCCCTTGTGTGCCAACCAGGGATGACTTTCTCTAGGCCACAAACCAACTGAATCTGGAAAACCGTCAAGGTACTATGAAGAACAGACAGACACACATTCCCTCCTCTCCTTCACATTTGAAAGAACACTCGAGCTGCCCAGAGTCTGGCACTGTGGACATGGCAGAGCGGATGGCAGTGTAAGGCTCCCAGGCCTAGTAATGTTAGTCTTTTAACCCTAGGCAGCATTAAACAGAGTTGAAGAAATACTGTCATAATTATTTTATACCCCTTCTGTGCGAAGTTTAGATTATATACGATGTGATAATAATTTTGGGTCCCAAGGGTGTTGCTGAATAGCCATACATTTCTTAGACTATTGTTTTCATGATTCGGGAGCAGATGTAATGTGTAACTTCCTTCAAGACGGTACTAGAGGTCTTATGGCCATGGTGACTGTCATGAGACACTGCTACAGAGTGCAAAAATTACAGTGAAGAAGAGACACAAGCCCGTCTCTACAACAGATTCAATAAATATAAGGAACTTTTTCATTTTAAAGAGTTATCTTGAAGGTGAAAATGCATTCGTCTTCATTGTCTTTTCAAATGTGAGGAACTTATTTATATCAGATGATGAGACAAGTGAGTCTACAAAATGGAAATGTGGGAAGCCATAGCAGACTGAGAATGTGTCGATGCCAGGCATGTTGGCTTTGAACAGCACTGTGAGCAGCCACAGTCCTCACTGTGCCCCAACTTATAGCTATACTTTAGAATACAGCTGTAAACTAATGAAAATAGCACTTCTGAAACTAAGTATGGAGACTACTGTGCTAAGTTAAGAAGTTGTGGATGGCAATGAACTCTTCCCTCTAGATGGAACCTCATAATGGCTTTTTGTTACATGACTATCTTCTTGGTGAACATTTGAACTAAGGGAATGACTGTGGATTCTTATCTAGCTAAGCATTTTGAAATGGATTTGGAATGATATTATTTAGTGTTAACTAAGAAATATGTTTTTTTTTTCCTTACTCATGTTCTCTTCCCTGCACTAAATGTGGAATTGATCATAGAAAACATCTCAAAAAGAAAAAAAGAATACTCAATTTGGGGAGATTTATAAAACAGCAAAGAGAATGCAAATCATTTTTTAAAAAAAGTTCCAGATGTTTGGTTGAGGTTTTTTTATATGTCTGTTTTTATTTCTAGGCAATGGCTCAAGTCTGAAGATATTCAAAGAATCTCACTGCTTTTCTATAACAAAATTCTGGAAAAAGAAGTAAGCTATTTTTTCTTTGAAACCAGTTGGTTTTTCTCAAATGGTAATTCTGAATTTCTTCATGAAATTGTGCTAATGTTTTTTACATGTGACATTTAAACTGTCTCTAACTATACAGAAATCTTTCTGAATTTTCCTGTGTTTTTTCATACTTTTTTGTCTTAGCTTATTTCTTGCTACCAAGTTTCTAACTTTGGCCATTCATCCGTTCCTGGCAAGGAATAACACCCAGCCTTCTCATTGTGAAAACCTTTTTAAAAAAATGGTTCCTGAAAATGTGTGATTGCTCTACAAATATAATTTTAATATTTTCATGGAAACATGAATTTTAAGTTCATTGCATGTTGTACAGCATTGGAAAACCCAAACTTATATGTTTTTTTATTTAATACATTCACATCGTAACATTTACATTGAGAGGCAGCCCATGTACAAATGTGAAGCATACCTTTAGTTCTTACATGAATTTGCCTAACATGAATTGAATAATTACCGCATGAAGATCAACCCTTCTTGATCAAGACTATTTCATTCACCTTGTGTTTTATGTTTATTTAAACTATTCAGTGAAGCATTAAGCCATTGGCTATAATGGAAATTAAAAATGTTATCTCAAAAACTAAAAAGGAAGGAAAGAAGGAAGAGGGAGTGAGGAGAATATTATATTCTTAGAATGGTATGTGAGCTACATGGAATCTGTCCTGTTTATGTTAATATCACAATAACATGAAAATTAACAGGAATTGTGTTGTAATAATTATCCTGCATTTGCTGTGACCAAGACAGTCTGATGCATTAAAGAAAAATCTTTTAAAAATAAAACAAGAAGTTCAAAATTAGTACTTACAAAAAAAGACTGAACTAAACCTAGGGAAATGAATTCCATTGTCCAACCAAATTTACAGGCTCAGTTTCAACAAGATAAATTATATTTAGAGAAACCTTTATGGAACATGGAATAAAAATTCTGCTGAGAAAAGCCAGTTTGTAGTTTTTGGAATGCTGAATGAAAGAAATATGACAAGGCCTCTCAAGTTGCATTGTGGCTATGTTTTACAGTTAAGGCAAATTTTTCTTGTATATCATTGATCAGAGGATGAATCACACTTCTAAGTAAAGAACCTGGATTAGCAATAGTTTATCAAATTGATGCCCTTGAGTGACGCTAACACATCTTGATGGCTACTGATTTTTTAGATTAACTCCTTCCGCCTTCCATATTCACCATGTTAATACCAAGATGAAATGCCAGCTCACACATCTGCACAAAGCTGCTAAAGCTGTTAGAAGATAAGAATGTAATCAAATGCTGAATAATGACATGGGAGCTATTCTGCTAAGGTTGCATCTCCAGCAGCACATTAGCTATCCTGGCTATTAAGTCACAACGTCGCCAAAAAAAAGATGTGATGGAAGGTGGCCTTCAGTAAATGCTGCTTTTGCATGTTTTTCCACATGTGTGTCCTTGTAGAGGCCAACTGAAGGCAAAGTTGAGAGCACATCAAGATTTAAACTCATACTTCATCTACCTGCCCTAAGCCTGCTCTTCGAGCCAGCAGGAAGGAAAGGAGACAACAAAGCATGCATGTCCAAAGAGAAACAGGAGCCAGAGTGGCACTCCCTCACTCAGTACTGATTTCCAGGAAGGCATGCACTTCCCCGTAGCTTGTTCTATAGCCTGTGCCAGTGTAACTGATGAACCCGACACTATTCGCAAGTTCTGATAGTGTTGTTACAAAACTTAACTTCCTTATGAAACCCTGTTGTCAGAGATGCAGGAGCCGTGGGGTTGGGAATGTGAGTCCCGAGGCAGTCTGCCAGGTCAAAGTCCTCCTTTGCCCATCCGCTCCCTGTGTCTCTCCAAGGATGTGAACCAGGGCTGTGGGCAGCTCCCAGCTCCTCCTTCCTGGTGTAAGGACAAGGATGTGGTGAAGATTAGTGGAGCTGCGACACAGAAAGCGAATGCCTGGGGCATCCTAAGGTTTACCCGCTGTGGTGCTGTTTGACCTTAGGTTCCTGCGCAATTTGAGCCAGGGCAGTGCCAGGCAGACAGCTAAGTCCAGCTGATCCACAGTCCCAGTCGGAGGTGGCATCGTGAGGGCTCCACTTACAGCACTGAACGAGAAGAAGGCTAAACCAATGGGCAGGCTCAAAACCTGCAAAGCCAGAAACAAGGCCCTAAGATGTTTGTCTTCTACTTTTACTCAACACCTCTAAGCACAGCAATAAAATAAAATATTACCGTGAGCGTGCTATGCATTACCCTCAGAGTCACTCCAAAGTAAACTGTTGTGACGTGGCAATCTCTCCCATTGCCCAAATCATTGCAGGCATCAGACTGCTGAAGGAGCCAGGTCAGCGGCAGGATTCATTGAGGCCTTCAGGTTGTTCACTCAGCTTTCTGGTCTGGAGCCTCTCTCCTTAGTGGAGTGATTCAGTTCCGCAGAACTGGCCTTCTGAACTTGTCCTTGGAAGTCACGCTTCCACAGTTCATTTGCAGGGAGGAAGCACTCAGTAAGATGAGCTGCCTGCTTTTGCCCAGTCTGCAGCTTACACGTGTGCATGCGGCTCCTCTCGCAGAACACCGGGCTCACTTTCCTCTCTCTCCCCTCAGTACCGAGCCACTGCTCTGCCAGCCTTCAAGTACTATGTGACTTGCGCGTGCCTCATATTCTTCTGCATCTTTATTGTGCAGATCCTCGTATTGCCAAAGTAAGTACACTGTTTCCCACTGGGAGTCTCTGCTTGTGTAGCTTCCAGTGGATCCGGCTTGTTTCAGGATAGGAGTGGATGGACGTTTCTAAAGGCAGGGCTAACATGCCAAGGGAGGGACGATTCAGGACCTCAAGGGTTCGTGGTTCCCTGTTGCTTAGCTGTAATCATACTGGATTTTCAAAGTGGACGTGTTGATTCACCCTATGGGGATCTCTAAATGAGAAATGTAACTTTCTTGCTCTCGTTTTGGGGTCACCATCATCTGCACTCTGAGAAATGTGAGTCGGTGATGTTTACCTGCCAAAAGAACACCTGCCAGGTGTTGCTCTTATGAACAAATTGTATTCTTGAATATTCAAAGGACACATGTGGCCAAAACAGGTCAGGGCCCAGCTTGCCCCTTCTAAGAGTGACCTGGACACAGGCAGAATCAAAGCAAACTAAGTTCTATGTTGCTAATCAAAAATGTCCCTGTTATGGGAAAACAACGCATGGACTTCAATAACACATTGACTCAAAGTCAATTTTTTTAAAATTCCATTTTCCATAGACTCTTTAACACACTTCACAGCTGTGCGGTAGCTGTCTGTCTCTCAACTACTCTGGGAAGGAGTGCGCATTAGACTAAACCTCCCCTCAAGAATTAGCATTAGAACACAAAGGCAAAGGTGCCTTCCTTCTAGAACTACAGAATTTTTAGTGAAATTTCCCAGTGTATGCTTAACAATTTTTCATTCAAAACTGTTAATAGGGGTCCGGCGTGATAGCCCAGGGGCTAAAGTCCTTGCTTTGCACGTGCTGGGATCCCATATGGGCACCAGTTGTAATCCCAACAGTCCTGCTTCCCATCCAGCTCCCTGCTTGTGACCTGGGAAAGCAGTCAAGGATGGCCCAAAGCCTTGGGACCCTTGCACCCTTTTGTAGGAGACCCAGAATTGCTCCTGGCTCCTGGCTTCAGATCAGTTCCACTCTGGCCATTGTGGACACTTGGGGAGTGAATCATCAGATGGAAGATCTTCCTTTCTATCTTTCCTCCTCTCTGTATATCTGACTTTCCAATAAAAATAAATAAATGTTAAAAAAAAAAAAAAAGCTGTTAACAAGTTAAGCTCCTGACTAGTGCCAGGCTATGGTCCAGGAGTGAAGCAAAGACTAACTTACACACGGGTACAAAAGAGGGTTTTACAAAGTTATGTAGGGCCCAGTATGGTAGCCTAATGGCTAAAATCCTCACCTTGCATGTGCCAGGATCCCATATGGGTGCCAGTTCATGTCACAGCTGCTCCACTTCCCATTAAGCTCCCTATTGTGGCCTGAGAAAGCAGCAGATGGTGGCTCAAAGCCTTGGGATCCTGTACCCATGTAGGAGACCAAGAAGAAGCTCCTGGCTCCTTACTTTAGATCTGCTCAGCTCTGGCTGTCGTGGCCACTTGGAGAGTGAAACAGGAGATGGAATATCTTTTGTCCATATCTCTTTCTCTCTGTATTTCTGCCTTTCCAATTAAAAAATAATAAATCTAAAAGATGGCTCAGGAAACTGGGCCCTCATGATTACTCCTGGTTGATGTATACACTCATTTTCCTCCAGCTTCTCAGTGGATAAGTATTCCTACATTCTCAAATCCTAAGCAATTAAGGCCTGTCACCCACTGGAAGGAGTACAAAAGGGGGACAGGGATTGAGACATTCTAAAGGTGCCTCCAAAGGAGACCGACTTCCTGAGCCCATGAGATAGTCTGTGTGGGAAGGTAGGGTAGGATGTCACAGTGGCAGCTTTGTTTCTGAGTCTTGAGCAGCTGTGGCAGTTGTCACTCTCCATCTTGTTGCTGCATGAGACCTTCACGGGGCCCACACCGGCTCCATCTCCCCACCCAGTGCTGGAGGCTTCTAAACAAGGAGCCAGGTCTGCCCCTCAGTGGGGGAGTGCCAACACTGGCCTCTTCTGCCCCACTCAGACATCTTGTTGTTTCTGTACTTCTTAAAGAATTGATCTAGTTCTTGTTTTATTTCTTTTATTAGGGAGAATGTGTGTGTTTGGAGAGTTCAAAAATATTTATGGAGAGTGAAATTGAAAGATAAGTTTGTTTTGGTAGGAAAACATTAAATTGCACATAATTTCATAAAAGATTCTGAGTAAGCTTTTTAAAGAACTTTTATATGTTTGAACCTCGAAATGTTTTGCACTAAAATAAACTTTGATTTTTTGCAAACATTTTAAGTATGTGTTGTTTTACTTTTAATGATTGCCTCTAGAATTTATTGTGTATGTGACTATATATATATCTCCTTTCAGTGACTTTATTAATATCTTGAAACATCATCTTAGTAAATATAAAATTAATTGTTGTCTCTTATTTATATATTTTTCCTGGAATTTTTAACTCCAATTGAAAATTATGCTGAAAATTTATTTAAATATATTCATATTCTTTCCCAGTTTATTTGCTTATCAGTGGATCTTAAAAACTGTTCCCCTCTATCTTCCCTCTTGCTGATATATAGCATTTACAAATCTTTTATTCAAGATCTGCATAATGACAGTTTCAATTTTTTGTTTGCATTTGAATATCTCTATTGGGTTTATTTTGCATTTGTTCTTATGTATGAGTTTCCTTGGGGGAAAACCTGCAGGGTTTTCCTTCTGCTTAGTATTGTGATGATCTTTCCCAATTGCCATCCATCCTCTGCTCTTGCTGATAAAATGGCTGCTGTTGGTTATATATATCCATTGGATACCTTCCCTGTCTGAGAACTTTTCCATTTATTTAATATTTGTTTGCTTATTTTTTATGGCTTGTATTAAATATGTTGTTTCAAAGTTTCATTTCAGAGGGTTTTTTTTTGCCACATTATGGTAAATTCCTTTTTTCTATTGGGTTTATAGTTCCAATGACTGCTTTTTCATATCTAAGTTTTATGAGGTAGCTACATAAAAAAATATAGATTTCATTTTTTCTTTTCCTTTACTCAAAGTATTTAACATCTGTGAGCATATGATTTGCTCCTGCTAGTTACAGCTGATCGCTGCTTGATCTTTGCCCTTTGTCAGCTCTGTCATGGTTGTCTCCTGTGTTACTTGTCATTTCTTTGAATTCCTAAACAGCACAGCTTAATCAGTGCTCATCTCATGGATTCTGAGTTGCAGCAGCATCATTTTGGGCTAGTTTTCAGGATGTCTCCCCCTGGTACTTCTGGGGTTTACCACTTTATATCAAAATAGTCTGTGAAATACTTAGATCTTTCAAATTCAGATTGAATTTGACTCAATCTTTCTGGCATGGATTGGGAATTTTTTTTCAAAGCTGTTATTTTTACTCTTGGTCCTAAGCAAGTAGCTACCTTCCCAGAAAACCTCCAGGCTGGTGGATTGACTGTTTGCTATTCCATGAGACAAGATTTTGTGAATCCTAACTTTGTTCAGGAACTCAGTGCCCAACATTTGTGTTGCAGCACCAGCACTGGTGTGATGGTCTGTATATTCAGAGCCGGATCAGAGGGGCAGTTGGGTATAGAACAGATCTTGTTGAAGTTAGTGTCCTTTAAGAAGAACCACCACGTGAGGACACGGAGGGAAGACCAGATCTCATCTATATTACGGGGAAAGCTTTCTCCAGCAGCCACATTGGCTGTAACCTTGGTCTGACTTCCCAACTTCCAGGGCTATGATAAGTGAATCTTTTTGTTTATATGTTGATTTCTGTGGTGATTTGTTATAGTACCCCTCATGCACTAAGACCACAGGGTGGAGCCTGGAGTGTGGTGGTTGGAGATTTTTGAGCCTGGATGAGCTGGGAGGGTGTGACTGATGAGACGGCAAAGAAATTGTCAGAGTGAGCTGAGGAGGGAGCTGTGGAGCTTTTGGTAGAAGGATATTTGGGATGGTGAGAGTGAGGGTAAGTTCAGGAGCCCAGGCGACTGGAACTGAGTGAGCCAGGAGTAAGTGGAGCAGAATGGGACAGGGGAGAGAAAGGGACCAGGGGAGAGAATGGGACCGGGGGAGAGAATGGGACCGGGGGAGAGAAAGGGACCAGGGGAGAGAAAGGGACCAGGGGAGAGAATGACACCAGGGGAGAGAACAAGTGATGTCAGGGATCAAGACGTTTTGTGCTGAGGTGGGTAGAATGCTCTGGATGCTCCTGAACAGAGGTCATGACCAGCTGAGCCTTGAAAGTATTGTTGTTCATGCTGTAGGGACCAGGGTGGGCAGCAGGGGCAGCAGGGAAAGCTAGGCTGTGGGCCCTTCCACAATCACTGTGGAGAGTGATGTGGCAGGACTGTGAGCAAGTTAAGTTTCAGGAATTATTTCTTGCTGTTCTTGGGGTTTTTGCTTGTTTGCCTGAACAGCTAAAACAATGGTTGTTATCTGCCAAAACGGAGAATTCTGAAGAAGGAACAGGTGGGAGGGATGTGGACTCAAGAGATCAGTAAGAGGTGTATGTGTGTTCACTGTGGTGGAGCTCCAGGAGGCAGGGTGTGTGCTTCCAGACCGAGGAGGAGGAGTAAGGGTGGAGAGAGAACATAGGAGATTGAACTGCCCAGATCCAGAGTATAGAGAGAGAAGACCCTGGTGTTCTGGGGGGGCCTCTGGGAGTGACAGAGTGCTGCTGTGGCCACCAAGGGGAAGCCTTTTGCCTCAGCCAGAGCCCCTCTCTCTACCCTACCTGGGGAACTCCAGACCAGCGTGCCTTGAAGCCGCAACCTGTTACCTGAAAGAGGGCCCTGGAATGGAGGTGATATGTAAATATAACCTTTGTTCTTTTCAACTTATTTTAAAATATGTTTATTTGCATTTGAAGGACAGAGTTAGAGAACCCTTTTATCCACTGGTCACGTAGCATCCAGAATCGGACCAGGAGCCAGGAGCATCATCCAGATCTCCCATTTGAGTGCTGAGGCCCAAAGATTTGGGTCATCATCCACTGCTTTCTCAGGTGGATTTGCAGGGAACTGAACCAAAAATCAGGCAGCCAAGACTCAAGTTAGCATCCACAAGGGATGTGGCTGCCAGAGGTGGGAGCTTAGCATTCTATGCCATGGTATTGGCCCCTCAGCTTTAGATTTTTTTAACTGAATTTCATTTCATTTTGAAGTTCTGTCACTTAATAACCAAGACTTTTTTTTATTACTTCATGCGACTGCACAATGAAAAGCTAGCTATCTAAGTTTTTTGTCATCTTTGCTGATTACCACACCAGAAAAGTGAAGATACGGATTGTAGGTGAAGACAGTGAGAGGATGGGGACGAAAGTCATCACACTGGATAAAATCCCAGAGAAAGGCACCGTGCTCTACCCCAAAAACAGCATTTCACAAATGTGACATTCAGGTTTGGGGAGATGTGTATGTATGCTGAGCTTTTTCTGTGGAAAAAAAATGGGTGTCTCATTCCTGCAAGGACCACATTTATGCAATAAAATGAGTCAGGGAAAAAAAAAACAGAAAGGGGAAAGCAGCTTGTCTCCACTCAGCCTCTTCTGTGTCCTGGGACAATGTACTTGATTAAAGAGCTGAAGTCAGGCATGGTCACTGAAAGGTGTAATTTTCTTACCTCACGGCGGGGAAATGTCAAATTTCCTTTTCAGGAAGCATCTAAATCAATTACGCTTATGGGTTTAGAAGAAACAGCTTTGCAATCAGAATGTTAATTAAAATTGATTAAGTTACACAAACACCTAGGTAGGCTTAATGGGCTTGAACATTCTTCTGATAGAACAGGCAAGATGAAGGGTGAGATTAAGAACTTGGGACGAATTATACTTTACCCTGTGGTGTTTCTTGTTTCCTGGGATCCGAGTCCCTCCTGACTGCTACAACAGCCTACTGTAGCTTATATAAATTGTAAACCCCAGAAGCCTGTTTCTCACAGGTCAAGAGGCCTGCAATAGGCCTGTGATCAGAATGTCAGGCATTGCTGGCTCTGGTCCCAGCACCCCTTCACCTCGGGTTTCAGCCTGCATCTGTGTAGCCTTACATGCTGTGAAGACACAGCTGGCTGTCTGACCTCTGTTCTCCTATGGGTACCAACCCTGCAGAGGAGCACACCACCACCCCATCACGCTGGAGACTAGCTTTCTGTTTAAACATGTGAATTTCGAAGGAATGCAAGCATGCAGCCGGTAGTAACCTGGGGAGAGACTAAGCACCCAGCATGCCCAAATGCTTTTTCTGCAGCTCTGAAGATGACTGTGCCCCCCCCCCCCGTTTATTCTGTTAGTATTATAGAAATTGTTTTCAATGATTAAACCAATCTCACATTTCTTACCACTTAGTTATATTATGTACAAACATTTTTATATGTAGTAGAATTCAGTTTAAGAATATTCAGTTAGAAAATATTTTCATGTCTGTTCATAAGAGATGGCAGAGTTTTAGCCTCGTGGAATGGCTTAAAAATGATTTCTGTGCTGTGAAAGACTTTTTGAAAACCTGAGATAAATTATTGTTTTTTTAAAAAATGATTTATTTTTATTTGAAAGGCAGATTTTACAGAGAGAGAGGGATCAGAAGCAGAGCAGCTGGGACTAAACCAGTGCTCATGTGAAGTGCTGGCACTGGAGCAGGGGGTTCAGCTAGCTGCCCCAGAACGCTGTCCGCTGTACTCTGCTGTGAGGAACAGCCGTGGAGGGGAGTTACAAGTGCCAAGCAGCTTCCTCAGCCACACCTGCAGATACGTGCTTAGAGAAATGGCTTCTGTTTGAATTTCTCAAAACGCTGGGATTGCGCTCCTTGTTGCAGGAAGCCCTGAGCGAACTCCCAGTGTTGCTGGTGACTTCTTGTGTCTCCACGGCTGCCTGCTGACCTGTTCCTTTTGTTCCCTGGTAGGACGTCCATCCTTGGGATTTCTTTTGGAGCCGCATTTCTCTCGCTTGCCTTGATCCTTTTCGTCTGCTTTGCTGGACAGCTTTTGGTAGGTGTTTCAATGGGGGGACTGCTGTGCAACATGTGTTCATGTCATGAAAACGGATTCTTGCTTAGATCTTTGAAAAACCACCCTGAGCTTGTCAGTGTATCATTCTCAGAGCTACAGCTCCCAGTAGAGAAACATACACCCTTCAGATTCACAGCCCTGAATATAAACTGAAGGAGTTCATATCCAACCAAGATGTTCATCTGAATATTATTGGAAATGTTGGATACATCACTGGGAAATTGTGTTTTTTACTCTTTTATTCCTGGTTTTTATTAATCATTTCCTTTAAGTTTTTTGAGTAAACTCAAGTGTAATAGGAAACTTTTGGTGTCTAAAATAATTAGTTTTAACCCAAGTAAATCTTTACATTTGCTTTCAAGGTATAAAATTTGCACATATTTGAAGATAGGAAATGCTAAAATTCTGTCATTGGCATTTTCATCGAAGCCAATCAAAATTCTTTTAATTGACATGATAGTTCTGATAGTTGCATATAAGTTTATTCTGTGTCTAAAGCAAGTGTTGCTAGGCAGCTGTGGTGCTCAAGGAGCATCCTGAGAAGGGCAACAATGCAGGGAGGTCCCCACAGATTCATCAGCATTGGCTCATTAGAGATGAGTTCGCAAGCACTGGCCACTGGCCCCAGGTTTCCAGTGGAATTCACATGCACCCTCAGGAGAAGCTTATGCAGTTGTTCTCAGTCAAATTTTAATATAGTAAAATTTATCATGCCGAGTAGGAATTATATTTTAAATGTCTGTCAATGGATACATTCTACGTAATTTCTAGAAGATAGTTTCAAAAATGTGGTTTGTTCTTTCACATCCCGCCCATGCATGAGCAAGGCAGCCCCTAGCTTTTTGGTCTGCTCTCTCCAGACACACACCGTTTCTTGATCAGGTCTGTGCCTGGCATTTGTTTCTTCACCATCATGTTATTATGCTTTTTCAAAATGTGCAGTTATTACTACTAACGCCATCACAGTGAACAATGGCCTATTAAAATCCTAGTCCACTCTTAAAGTCTCTGAAAAATGGTTGTCATGGAGCCCCAGGCTTTCCGCGGCTGAAAGGAGTTGACCCACATGAGTTGATGGTCCAAAGCCTGGCTCTGCCCTCCACAGTGGGTACCTGGCTTCCTGGACCTTGCACCTTTGCAAACTCCCATGGACTTTGTTTTTCCTGTGATAGTGTGGATATTTCCTTTGTTTTGAAGATCCCTGTCAATCTTGAGTCTGGCACAATCCCCTGGAGAGCCTTAAGGTAGTGTAAGGAAGGGCCTGGTGAGAGTGATCCACCCTCCTGTTCCCTGGAGAGTGCTTCTTGGAGGTTTTAAACGCTTGGCATTCAGAGAAGTTTCCAGTTATTCTCCTGGGCAGTGAAGCACTGGGCTCCTGCCCTCTCCCCAGAGGCCTGTGCAGCCCATTTCTCAGGTTTTCAGAATGGCGATCATTCCTAATTCTAATGCAGATTCTCATTCAAATAGTTCAGATCTTGGTGTCATTTACATTTTTCATTTTCTATCCCAACAAATCCAGTCTTGGACTAGAGAAATATAGTCTATATTTAGGGTCTCAAACTGGATTTTTTTGCTTCTCACCGTCTTAAGTTGTTTTATAAAGACACACGGAAGTAGAAGCTGAAACAGCTCTGCTGCTTTTGTGGGAATCTGAGCCCATGGCACATGTCAGCCCTTGATCTCACCTGTGAGCAACCTGAAACTGTGAGGACTGTACTTTCTCTTCTCCACCTCCTTCGTACCTGGGCACTTCCCGAGACCCAAGGACCCAGACACCACTTGCTGCGAATTTGTCACAGGAAATTTCAAGGCTACAAATGAATTCCTTCCCTCCTGCTGGAAAAAATTATTTCGCGTGTTAAAAGAGGCCAGGAAGGCTAAGCTTGACATTTATTCTTTCTGAACTTGAACTGTTAGTTTGCAGGAATGGTATATCTTCCCCTTCACATGCCAACGCCCTTGCCCACCCCACCCGACCCCCAAGCACACAGAAAAAATGGCTGACTGTAATCCTTTCTCACTTTGAAATCCTTTTAATTTGCATTCCAATAGAGGATTCATTGCTTAGACCCTTCTGCAAGGGTATTTAAATGCACAAACCAATTTAAGAAAGTCAGTGTGCTCCTGCTCCCCAACTGTCAGTGGGCTCTCCAAATCTGTGGGATCCACAGATTGAACCAACTGCAAGTCAAAACCACTACATCTGTGTCGAGCATGTGCAGGTTCTTTTCATTGTTAGTCCCTATACAATACCGTATAAAAATTACTAACGTAACATCTGTGCTGTGTTAGGTACCGTCGAGGATATACTTGACTGATCTGTAAAAACTATGACATTTTCTATTAGAGCTCAAGCACCCAGGGCAATCCCGGAACCAATCTGTCTCGGACACTGAAGTTCCACTGACCTCACGGTTGGTATTTCCAGACTTCTTGGAATCCTTGCATTGTTGGAGATTTTACTATATTTCATGGTTTTTTGTGAATTTTCTCCTCTATCTGGGGGAAGGGCAGAGATCCCAGACTCTCAGCCACCTCAGATAGAGAATGGCCACCCAGTGTCATCCCAGAGTCCCCATTGTGGAGCATGTTCTCAGGGTTCTGCTCAAGTGGTTTCGATAGTTCTGACATGCTGTCGGTCTTGCAGATCCAAGGATTGGGATATCGTTCCAAGTCCATTGACTGACATGGTCCACCCCAGAGTCTCTTTTTGCCCAAAAGTTTGCTGGCACGCAAACTTTTTTCACTGTGGCAGCTGACCATTTGTTCTGTTTTTTTTTTTCTCTGCTATAGTACCAGGTGTCCTATGCAGGCCCCAGTGGACTGCCATACCCTCCATGTGCATCTGAGCATGCTGCCCACTGCAATATATTGCATACTGAAGAGGCCCAGTTCTGACACATGTACTCCACTGTTAGATCACAGGTCCTGCCACTCTCCCCATGATTGGCATTCTGACTTCAGCAGTTCAGTTGGGGGGATCCCAGACCTGACTGTGTGGCTGCCAGTATGGGGTCCAGCTCATTCAGTCACCCACATCATCCTACACACACAGACTGATAGTTGCAATTGCTAGGTCAGATCTATCTGCAGTCCCATCTCATGCAAACCAATAGGTGCTGCAGCCCAGCCCAATCCTCTCACCCTACACTTAGCCCTCATTATACATCAGTAGAAACTGCAGCCCAGTCTGAGTGACCCTAGTAACCCCCCACTGGGCCAGCCCCCAGCCCTAGACCTGTGCCTGCCAGCATACACAGTAGATTGGACTGATCTGGTCTGTGCCACCTCCTACTCAGCTCTCACACACAACTGGGCATTTAAGCCTAACACAACCAACTCCACCCTCAGCCCTCACTCATGCCAGTGGGTGCCACTGCCTATCTAGCCAGGCCTTCTCTCAGTCCTGGTTCTTGTGCTCACCAGTGGGAGCCTTAGCCCATCAGAGAGATGCCCACTGGACCGATTTCATACCCCACATTTTGCATTCTCCAGATGGTTCTGCAGTCGAGCTTGACAGGACTTGACCCCAGTCCCAACACTTGCCTGCTGATGCTATGGCAAAGCCCGACCAGCCTGCCCTTTCTCTGGCTCATGCCTGCCTCAGTGGATACAGTCGGTGTTAGCCCAGCCTGGCTCTCCCTAACTCATAAACTCCCATGTTTCTAAAGGGAATAGATTTTTTGTATTTCATGCATACATTTTTAAGAATGTGATGATATTTCCCACCCCCAACCTTCCCTCCCTCCCTCCCTGGCTGCCACCCTTCCTAGTGCTCCTCTTATTTTTTTTATTTTTGCAATGACATCCTTTTAATTCATTTTAAGTCACAAGATTAACTTTCCATTAAATTAAGAGTTCAATAAGTTAGTAAAATGATCTGTTTAATCTTGGTAGAGGCAGAAACTACAAGACAAGACACTCTAGCTCACGTTTCATTATAATCAGCCATTTGAGAATACCGACTGTCACTGGTGGTGGTAATACACAGACACAGCGACCACAGATGTGACCCAAAATACCAGCAAAGCGGAGAAACACAAAGCAAAAAACCTGAAAACATCTTTAGAACAAAAATTCCAGATATAGTAAATGAAAATGCTGGAACATGTCAGAACAAATTTCCCCCAGTGTTGTTATCTGGTGCTTTGCGTGGCTGAGGTAACGTGATGCCAGCCCACCAACCTCGTTCCAGGTAGAGATGAAAGCAGAAAGATAGAGGTCGTGTTGGGAGAGAAAAGTAGGTCGTACACCCAGCTCAGAGGAAAGCTTCCTACCCCGCGGGAGTGCTCTTCTCTGGAGTCTGTTTTCTGTAATGTCTGTGTTCCTGCCTGGGTGTTCTTTGGCGGAGAGCTCTGGTGTCCCCTTGTGCAGCTTTTCCCTGTCATTATGTGGGCTGTAGGTGTGTCTGTGGTAAACAACATCTAGCAACATGTTATTTTGTCTGGTCCCCAGATCTTTCTTTTACTTGGAAACACGTACATTTACATGAATTATAAATACAGCTACAGCCCCCTTTTGCTTTTTGATTCACTGTACCATCTTCCTTGCCTCTGCTCGTCTCTTCCTGACTGCCTTTAGTGACTTAGAAGTCAATATGCTTTCGTCACCTTTTCAGTCATTACCATGCAGGGCACACTGAACGCTCTGTCTTGGATCTGTGCTCTAAGTCCACACTTTCCCTTTCAGCTCCCAAGACAGTGCTGCGCAAATGTTTCTAAATTTCAATGTCTGGATTTATTCACTGCTCTCATTATTTCTTATTGTCTAGCAGCTTGTCCATTCTTCCCAAATTACAGAATATTGTATCCATACTGCTAAAATGCTTCATTTCAGAATCCATTCCATGAGAACGTGTGTGTCATCTGACCACTCAGTTTTTGTATTTTAAAACCCCCTCGTTGTCTCCTCATGGTGATAATTAATAATAATTTTCCCCACAATTTTGAACTCATGATTCTGTATTTTCCTGATCTCTC